ACTGCCTGGCTGAGGGTGTTAGGGGCTGTGCCTCTTGTGAGGGCCATCTGGGACCTCTCTGGGGCACTGCACAATTGATAGTGTACCAATGGAGGGAGCCTGGGCGATCTGGAACAGCACCTGGTGGGGTCCTGTGTGTGTGCGCTCTGTGGGCTCTGCGATCGTCTGTGGCCAGGCCGGGGCACGGCTCTTACCTGGGGAGTGGTGGGCATCTCGATGCTTCTTTGCCTTAATGATGGCCACATTTGGGTTGCTCTGCACCCACGGGAGAGGCTGGCCCAGCTACAGACTGCTGGACTTCTGTGTCCATCTTGGGGGGTAAGCCCATGTGACCCTCCCACATTCTTGGCACTATGAACAGAGAACACTTGCCTGTTGGCTTCTGAAGTGGTCAGGACTGTGGCTGGCACCTCCAGGTCCGCCTGGCATGGGACACCAAGTGGAAAGCCCAAGCAGCTCATCTGCTCTTGGGACCAGGGGCCAGTTGGGTTGGGTCTGGCATGGCAGAGCTGTCGTGGAGGGTCTGGAGGGGTGGAGAGGAGCCTGGTTGAAGCGGACTGCTGCGGGTGCAACTCCCAGCTTGGCCACTGTGGGCTGTCTGCTCTCCCTCCTAGCAGCTGTCACGCTGAAGTTTTGTCCTCTGCTGTCTCTGGTCCTGAGATCAGCTGTGAGCCTAGGTGGCCAAGGCTTCCTGCATTGCTTCCCTGTGAGTCCAAGGCCGTCCCCACCACTGGGCAGGAGCTGGACAACACGGACTTCTAGAGACAGCCGCGTTGCCAGTTCCTCCTCTCCCACTTGCTCATCCTTATCTGCCATGCTATTCTAGTTTCCATTGTCCTCCACCAGCATTTCCCTCACTCTGAAATTCCGGCATTCACATCATTCATGTTTTCTTTTGTCTTTCAGCTAAAGAAAAAACATTGGCGATTTGTCTGCTTCTGGTTTTGAGTTACTCTTTGTTCAGTAATGCACTTTATTTTATTGTCCAAAGAGAGTCAGAGCTAAGCATACAGGCTTGGGGGTGAGCCCTGCTATAAGAGTTCAGGCCCTGGGAGGCTCAGCCACCTCCCGTTGTGGGAGGGAGGTCTCAGCCCCACCTCGCATCTTCACCTGCCCTTGGTGTGGACACACCCTCTCATGCTACCAGCACCATAACCCAGTGGGGGTGACTGGGTGCACACCTGCCCAGGTGAACACAGCGGCTGCCAGTCTCCTGGCCCAGAGAGGAGGTGGGGCCTGGCCCTGGTCTCTTCTAACCAGGCTGCTCGTGGGGCACAGGTGCTCCTGCTTCGGCTCTGTTTCGGCTCACAGGTGTGCATCACTGGGCTTGGATTTGCATTACATTGACCCCAGCCCTGCAGTGGAACCTAATAAAAGCGCCTGAAGCAACGGCCTGGTCTTAGTGTGTCCTTCCGGCGCACTCAACTGTTGTCTGGCATCTGCTCACTGTGTGGGGATTTGATAACTTGTCCCCAAGATATCACCGTCTTACGCGTGTGTATGTGCATGGACCATTTAAAGATGGGGATTCTACTTCCCCAGCCAGTCCCTCCCAACCTTGACTCCTCGATAAGTTTCTTGAAGTGTTAACATCTAGGAGGAGGAGGAGAGTGCATCAGTGTTTGACAGCCCGGCCGCCCTTGGGTGCCTCTTCTGCATCTGCCCCACCTGTCAGCCCCGCAGCTGCTCCCGAGTCACTGCTTTGTGGACAGGTACATGTGACCAAACAGCAGGTGAAGGACAAAGCCCAGGAAGCCCAGGCTGCACAAGTGCAGCAAGGAGTGAGGCCTGGGGGTGACACGCCTGTGCTGCTTGAGCTGTCTTTCCTGTGACAATAGAAAGCGTCTAGAACAAGTGCTCTCTGAGCCTCAGGTAGGAGCCCTGGCAGCCACCGTTCAGCACCACTTTGTCCTTTGGCCAGTGACTCATTGCTGACTTGAGCAGTTACTAAAACCTATTTTCTGAAGGGGGGTCTTGGGGTGAAGCAGGCCACAGGGCAGTTACCAAGGGGTCCTGGCTTCTGCACTCCAGCAGTGAGAGGGTGGGCCCCCAGCATCCGGCCTCCAATCCTGCACCTTCAACACAGTGCAGTTCACTCAATTCCCCACAGCTCCTGGGATCACTTGGGCCCAGGAGGTCGAGGCTGCAGCGAGCTGTGATCGCAACTCTAGCCTGGGCCACAGGGTGAGACCTTGTCTGAAAAAAAAAAAATGCTGAGGTGGGGAGGCTCGGGGAGGTTGCATCAGAGAAAGCGCAAGTGCAGCAGCAGCCTGGGCCATGCAGGGAGCCAGTACCTGGTCATGGCAGTCTGTGTGAGAGCCAGTGAAAATCCTTGGTGCTTTCATACTCTCTGGTTCTATGTAAAGATAAACGCTGGGCACAGTGGCTCACACCTGTAATCCCAGCACTCTGGGAGGCCGAGGCGGGTGGATCACCTGAGATCAGGAGTTCTGGCCAACATGGTGAAACCCTGTCTCTACTAAAAATACAAAAACTGGACATGGTGGTGCACACCTATAATCCCAGCTACTCGGGAGGCCTAGGCTGGAGGATCAGTTGAACCCTGGGGGGCAGAGGTTGCAGTGAGCCGAGATTGTGCCACCGCACACTCCAGCCTGGGCAACAGAGCAAGACTGTCTCAAAAGAAAAAAAAAAATGCTGGGTGCAGCGGTTCATGCCTATAATCCCACCACTTTTGGGAGGCCAAGGCTGGCAGATCACTTGAGGTCGGGAATTCAAGACCAGCCTGGTCAACATGGTGAAACCCCATCTCCACTAAAAATACAAAATATTAGTGTGGTGATGTGTGTGCGCCTGTAATCCCAGCTACTTGGGAGGCCAAGGTAGGAGAATTGCTTGAACCCAGGAGGCAGAGGTTGCAGTGAGCCAAGATTATGCCACTGCTTTCCAACCTGGACAACAGAGTGAGACTCTGTCTCAAAAAATTTAAAAAAATTTAAAAATGGTTCTGGATGCCAATCCCCCACGAAATCAAGCAAATCGTACTGCTTAGAAATAGAAAAGCCCAGGGTTGGAGACCAGCCTGGCCAACATGGCAAAACCCTGTTTCTATTAAACAATAGAAAAAGCCTGGCGTGGTGGTGTGCACCTATAGTCCCAGCTAATCGGGAGGCTGAGGCAGGAGGTTGGCTTGAGCCTGGGGTGTTGAGGCTGCAGTGAGCCGAGATTGCACCACTGCAAAAAAAAAAAAAAAAAAGGGGGCAAACTCAGGTTCCTGGGTCCCTGCTCCACCTCCTGCTGTGTTCTTATTGGGCTGTGCTGCTCTGAGGAGAGGTCCCTCAAAGCCCAGCCCTCCTCACCCTCAGCACAGCCTGAAGCTTCATGGTTTCTCTCTTCTCAGTCTGACCTTCCAAATTGACTCCTTCATATAATTTGTGCTTAGGGAGATGATACCACCTACAGGTTGGGCATAGAGACAGTGTCCAGCGGTGTGCTCTGCTGTGTCAAAGGCTTCTGCTAGGAGTGTGTGTATCTTCCACACCCACAGCAGAGAGGTTGCCTCAGCCCTCATCACCCTTCGCCAAGTATAGGTGGGGCACAGCACAGCCCAGCAGCTGATGGAGAGCCGGCCTTGAGCCCTTTGCTGGTGTCCAACTCACCCCCTTTCCCCTGGGATCCATGCTTAAGGTCCCCCACATGACCATTGATCATAAATCTTGTTGCAGATAGGAGCTGGGCTTGGCGTGGGGCCAAGAGCCTGCCAGCCCCCGGAGCAGAATGGAGTGGGCAGCGGAGTAAACCGCCGGGTGAGGCTGCTGGTTTACCGGGCCTCCTCCCACGTTCTTTCCTCCTCCACGTGATCGTGATCATTTCCTCTAGGACGGTCTTGGCATGTTTCCATCCATATGGAAGAGACGGCCTGGGAGGACTGGATGGGAGTTGGTGTGTGTGAGCGAGCGAGCGACTCAAGAGGCTTCAGAGGGTTAAAACTAGCAGTCAGAAGACCGGCAGAGGCTCCCCTGTGGGGGAAATTCGGTCAGAAGACCGGGGAGGATCCCTGTGAGGAAATTCACAAAACGATGCGGCATCTGCACTTCCTGACTCTGAAGGCCAAATGGGATGCCCCTGGCCCTCCTCTCCCCACTCCCCAGCATCAAAGACAGCATTTCCAGCCCAAACACCTTCAGAGCAGCCCTGGCGACAGAGAGGATCGAGGAACTGACTCCAGGTGCCGCACCTGAGTCTGTCTATCCTAACACCCAGAATCAGACATCCCCGTTGTCCTGGGGTCAGTCCCCACCCCAAACTCAAAGGGGGGGCGGTCAGGACGTCTGCACGTGGTGCTTTGTGCTCCGGCAGATGCACCCGGACTCCACGATGTCTGCCCAACTTCCAAGCCCTGTTTTGCAGCCCTGCCCGTAGACTCTCCCTCAAGAGTGTCTGGCCTTAGCGGTCTTCAGATTGGCTTCTTAAACGGAGGGAGGCGGACCGGGGGTGGGGTTCCTTGGTCATTTACTTGTCAGCGGTGTCCCTGGTTTCCGCTCTCTTCCGGGCGTGGAGGAGGTGTCATCGCAGGCCCCTCCACGGGCGTCCCTCTGGTCAGTACTTCTCTCCTGGAGGAAGTGGAGAGCTGCCCGGAGGGAGAGGGTGGAGGTGTCTTGCCCTGTCTCACAGTCATTTTCTTGTCCTTTGCTCCCAACCCGTGGTGTACTCCCCGTCCCCACGTGTTCAACCACGGAGGGAGGGAACGCACTTCCACCTAAGCAGGCTCACGCCGCTGGGCCCTGAACGTGGGGGCCCCTGGGGGGCGGCTCACGGAGCACAGGGCAGAGATCCATCGCTAGGATGACAAGAGCCGGCGCTGCCCCACCCCGTCCCCGGCTGGAGTGCGCTCCGGCAGGACTCAGGGGCTCTCCGAGAGCCCAGAGAATCAAGGGGTTTACGCAAAAGCCAGAGGAGCGCAGCGCGGCCTTTCCCGCCCGCCCCCGGCACCGCCGACCGCTTTACGGCGGAGGTCGCGCCGCACAGCGGGCTGCCGTAAAGCGCTCCGAGGCGGAGCCGCCGCCGCGCGGCCGGGGCTCTTCACCCTGACCGGCCCGCGCTCACGATGGCCAGCGCTGCGCCGCGGGTCCGCTACCTGGCGGGCTTCTGCTGTCCCCTCGGGGGCCTGGCGGCGGGCAAGCCCCGCGTGCTGTACCACGAGGCGGAGGTCTTCCTGTCCACCGGCAGCGAGCTCGTCTACGTGTACGACCAGGAGGGCGGGCTGCTGACCGTGAGCGCCGGCCCGCGGGGGCGGGAGGGGCCGGGCGGGGGCGGCGGTTCCTGTGAAAATGAAGACCGCGGGCCCGCGCGTCGCCTCGGCCTGACCCGCGCCCCGGTCCGCAGGCGGCGTTCCGGTTCCCGGACCAGGTGTGGCACCTGGAGCTGCTGGCGCCGCGCAGGTTGCTGTACGCGCTGTGCGCCCGGAGGGGCCTTTACTGCCTGTCGCTGGACCACCCGGGCAGGAGCAGGTGAGGGCGGGCCCGCGGCCTCCCTCCCGCACGCTCCTGCTGCCCCCGGACTGCTTCAGAGCGAGCAGCCGCACCTCCTCGCTCTTGGGGACCCGGGCTGCCACCAGCTCTGAGCCTTGGCCGCCATCCCCGCCCATATCTGGAGCCCCTGCCCCCAGCACTCTTGCTGCAAGTATCTTGCTCACAGTCCTTAGTAAGTGGGGTTCACATGGTTAAGCCTACTTCGGGGTGCGGGATCCTGTCCTTTGGGCCCTGGTGGCCCGGTGCTGTCTGGTGAGACACGCCCCCGAGGTTGGGTGTTTATTAGAGGGAGGAGACAGCAAAGGCACCGTGACCCGGAGCCAGTGATCGGTGGAAACCATCTGGGTCGGAAGGAAGCGAGCTCCGAGCAGCCAGGCCTGTCTTCAGTGCAGAGCCGGCAGCTGCTGACCGCGGCCCAGGCTGTACAGGGGGGGCAGCCTGTGCACTTTGCAACCCGGACCTCAGCCGGACGGTTCTGTGCTGAGGGGTGTCCGTTCAAGCTGCTTTTGAATGTCTGATACTTCCTGTCAAGCGTGTCCTCCGTGGGGAAGGTGGGAGGCCATGTGGCAGATGGACTGCTGAGGGCCTTGAGGGTCACTGCGGGGACCCCTGAGCCAGACTGCTCCATGCCAGGTTATGGTGAAGAGAACGTGGGAATCCCACCCTGCCCAGGCCTGACCAATGCATCCCTTGTTCTCAAAGGTCTACAAGCCGGGATGACAGGGACAGCGAGGACGGTGACCAGCCTTCCCCTGTGATCCCTGTGGACCCCGATGCCTGCATCCTTCCCGATGCTGCGCTGTGCGCGTTCACCGTGCTGGACAGTGTGCTGGTCACCCTGGTGCAGGGCCCCGCCCGGTGGAAGATGCAGCTGTTTGAGCAGCCCTGTCCTGGGGAGGACCCCCGGCCAGGAGGCCAGATCGGTGAGGTGGAGCTGTCCACCTACGCCCCCCCAGCCGGGGTCCCAGGAAAGCCTGCAGACCCCCACTTCCTTCCAGTGCTATGCTGTGTGTCACCGTCAGGCTCCAGGGTGCCGCGTGACCTCCTTGGGGGCCCTGGGGGCTTCACGCTGGAGGACGCCCTCTTCGGGCTCCTCTTTGGAGCTGATGCCACCCTCCTGCAGTCACCTGTGGTCCTCTGTGGTCTCCCTGATGGCCAGCTCTGCTGTGTGATCCTGAAGGCCCTGGTCACCTCCAGGTCAGCCCCTGGTGACCCAAATGCCCTTGTCAAGATCCTCCATCACCTGGAGGAGCCTGTCATCTTCATAGGGGCCTTGAAGACAGAGCCACAGGCTGCAGAAGCTGCAGAGAATTTTCTGCCTGACGAGGATGTGCACTCTGACTGCCTGGTGGCCCTTGGTCACCATGGCCGGATGCTGGCCATCAAGGCCAGCTGGGATGAGTCTGGGAAGCTGGTGCCCGAGCTGCGGGAGTACTGTCTCCCAGGCCCCGTGCTCTGCGCTGCCTGTGGCGGGGGTGGCCGCGTGTACCACAGCACCCCTTCTGATCTCTGTGTGGTGGATCTGTCTCGGGGAAGCACCCCGCTGGGCCCCGAGCAGCCCGAAGAAGGCCCGGGAGGCCTGCCCCCCATGCTGTGCCCAGCCAGCCTGAACATCTGCAGTGTCGTCTCTCTGTCCGCCTCTCCCAGGACGCATGAAGGTATGAGCTGCTGTCTAAAATGAAAGATGGGAGCCCAGGGTGGAGCGTCCTTTTTGGCTGTCTGCTACTATCAGGCCGCCTTCTTTTCCTGGGCTTGTTCTTTCGCAACGCTGACAGGTGTTGATACAGCCTAGTGGTTAACTCCCTTCTTGTCTCAAGGTCAAGCAGGGGCTGGTGGTGGGTCTATGCATTGTTCTGCCTCTGGGGTCTAGGGTGTGGCCCTGGGCCTGGTAGGATCTGAGTGTGCTGCTTGCTGGCTGTGGACTCGGAGGAAACTCGGGGGTCGGCCGCAAGTGCCTCCTCCGCAGGTCTTATGTGGCGAGCCGCCCAGGGAGGTCTGTTCCGGACTCGCCTTTCTTCCAAAGGCTGCAAACGCCTGCTCGTGTCATGGTGTGGCCTGCCCGTGAGTCTGCTCTGGACCGAAGGCAGATGGCACCGTGGAATTCTAGTTTTGTGTGTGTGGCCTGCCCGTGAGTCTGCTCTGGACCGAAGGCAGATGGCATCGTGGAATTCTAGTTTTGTGTTTTCCACAGAAAAAGCCAGAGAGGGTTTTAGCTGTGTGTGCCCAATGTTGGGGTGAGAGAAATAGAGCCACACACCCCCAACCAGTGCATTTCCCTGAGTCTGCTCACATTGTGAGCATGCTAACAAATCTCGCCATGGAAAATACATACACAGCAGGAGAGGAGGGCTTTGAAGGGAAACACCAGACTGTCTCCACTGCGGAAGAGAGGGCTGCAGACGGGGTCAGAGATGGCAAGGCTCGGGGCCACCGACAGAAGCCCGGGGTGGGGATAGCGCCTTTGTCTCGGGACCTTCTCTTCCTCACTGGACACTGGTCTTGTCTTCCGACTTCTTTCCTGGAGCCTGGGGAAACACCTGAGTGTCACGCTGCTTGCCTCTCCCAGTCTGCGGACCAGGCCCCTTGTGTGTCTGTCACCAGGTGGCACCAAGCTCCTGGCCCTGTCCGCCAAAGGCCGCTTGATGACCTGCAGCCTGGACCTAGACTCTGAGATTCCTGGCCCAGCCAGGATGACCACAGAGAGTGCAGGCCGGAAAATTAAGGAGCTGCTGTCTGGAATTGGCGACATCTCTGAGAGGTGAGCAGTTTGGCTTGGGCCGGGCAGAGGCTGGCACTGCCATCCTTGGGAGGTAGTATCTCTGTGTGGGGTCGTCCTGAGTCTGGGTGTCCTCGGGTGGCAATGGTCCAGGAGAGGCCATTACTTGGCCTTTTTTTTTTCTGTTTTTTTTTTTTGAGATGGGGTCTCGCACTGTCGCCCAGGCTGGAGTGCAGTGGCGCAATCTTGGCTCACTGCAAGCTCCGCCTCCTGGGTTCACGCCATTCTCCTGTCTCAGCCTCCCGAGTAGCTGGGACTAGAGGTGCCCGCCACCATGCCCGGCTAATTTTTTTTATTTTTTGGTAGAGACAAGGCTTCACCTTGTTAGCCAGGATGGTCTCGATCTCCTGACCTCGTGATCCGCCTGCCTCAGCCTCCCAAAGTGCTGGAATTATAGGCGTGAGCCACAGCACTCTACTTGGCCTCTTTTTTTGAGAGGGAATTTCACTCAATGTCACCCAGGCTGGAGTGCTGTGGTACGATCACTGTTCACTACAACCTCCGCCTCCCGGGTTCAAGTGATTCTCCTGCCTCAGCCTCCTGAGTGGTTGGGATTATAGGAGTAATCCACCACGCCCAGGTACTTTTTGTATTTTTAGTAGAGATGGGATTTCACCATGTTGCCCAGGCTGGTCTCAAACTCCTGGGCTCAAGTGATTTGCCTGCCTTGGCCTCTCAAAGTGCTGGGATTACAGGCATGAGCCACCGCGCCCGGCCATCACTTGTCCTCTTAAGATATCTTGAGAGCCTCAGGCGTCCCACTGTTTGGTGACAGGCTACCCAGCTGCCTCTGGAAGATGAGCCAGGACTGCCCCCCAGCACCCCACCCTTTCTCCCTAGTGGGCCACAGGAGACATCCCCTGCTGAGTCTTCACCCTCCCTGCTCTCAGCGCAGGATCCAGTGTGTTTTCCTCCCGCAGCACTGGCCTCGGGACGTTCAGAGAGAACACACTGCGTGCATGCAGCATCCCCTGCACCTCTCACGTGACCACTGGGGTCCTGAGAGCGAGGGGCCTGTCACCCCAGGTCCCTGTGGTGAGGGCTGTTTCTGTAGTGCCTGCCACCCTCCTGGCTTTCGCTGTAAAGGCTGCAAGGGAGAAAAGAGACCCACTAGGAACATTCTGGGGAGCCGAGGCGGGGGTGATGCACCACCTGGCCCCTGAGTGGCCCAAATGTGGGTGGTGGGCTTCTCGCACCTGGCAGATCAGCCTAGGCCCCCCAAACACCAGCTCCATCCTCTGTCCGCTTTCCTCCTGCAGCCCAAGAGGAGAGATGAGGTCAGATGGCTTGAGGCAGCTTCCAGAGAGGCTCAATGTGGGTGGGACCGGGAGAGACATGTTCCTGCAGCAGGAGCCCCCTCTGTGGTGTGGCTCCACCCCCACTGTGTGCTTGTGGAGCCAGGTTTGGTGCCTACTGGGCCTGAGTCAAGATGTGGCACCGGGCGCTGTGGGTGTCCCCCCCTCTCCTGGGGGTCATGTCTGTCTTTCGCAGAGTGTCTTTTCTAAAGAAAGCGGTTGACCAGCGGAACAAGGCCCTGACAAGCCTCAACGAGGCCATGAACGTGAGCTGTGCACTGCTGTCAAGCGGCGCGGGCCCCAGGCCCATCTCCTGCACCACCAGCACCACCTGGAGCCGCCTGCAGACGCAGGACATGCTCATGGCCACCTGCGTGCTAGAGAACAGCAGCAGCTTCAGCCTGGACCAGGGGTGGACCCTGTGCATCCAGGTGCTCACCAGCTCCTGTGCCCTTGACCTGGACTCGGCCTGCTCGGCCATCACCTACACCATCCCTGTGGACCAGCTCGGCCCCGGTGCTCGGCGGGAGGTGACGCTACCCCTGGGCCCTGGTGAGAACGGCGGGCTCGACCTGCCTGTGACCGTGTCCTGCACGCTGTTCTACAGTCTCAGGGAGGTGGTGGGCGGGGCCCTCGCCCCCTCGGACTCTGAGGACCCCTTTCTGGATGAGTGCCCCTCCGACGTCCTGCCTGAGCAAGAGGGCGTTTGCCTGCCCCTGAGCAGGCACACAGTGGACATGCTGCAATGTCTGCGCTTCCCTGGCCTGGCCCCGCCACACACACGGGCCCCCTCCCCACTGGGCCCCACCCGCGACCCCGTGGCCACTTTTCTGGAAACTTGTCGGGAGCCTGGCAGCCAGCCAGCAGGACCCGCCTCCCTGCGGGCCGAGTTCCTGCCCCCATCTGTGGCTTCCATCAAAGTGTCAGCGGAGCTGCTCAGGGCTGCCTTGAAGGACGGCCACTCAGGTTGGTGGCACTGATTGGCTTTGCTCAGCCTTGGGGATTTTTTTTTTTTTCCTTAAAGAGACAGGAACTTGCTGTGTTGCCCAGGCAGGAGTACAGTGGTACAGTCATGGCTCACTGCAGCCTCGAGCTCCTGGCCTCAAGTGATCTTCTCATTTGGGCCTCCCAGAATGCTGGGATTCCCTGCATGAGCCACTCCACCCCACCCACCTCGGGCCTGTGGACATGGGCTGTTCCTCCTTCTCCCAGCTGCTCCTGTGGGGCGGCCTGGCCCCCCAGCCCAGCGAGCTCTGCTCAGGAAATGAGCTTCGCCTGCATCCCGTCCGCTGTTGGGGTCTGGCCTTATGTGGGGCCCTCTCACCATGTATTTCTTTTCAGTTTTGTTTTTTAAACCTATATATGGAAGCGTAACCTACATACAGCAGAGTCACAAAGGAGCCAAACTGTGAGCTTCATATCGCAGGCACCCGGGGAGGGAGTCAGCTGCACTCACCCCAAAGCCCCGGCACCATTCATCAGGCGTTTGTGAGCTCCACGTAATGGAGTGTGCGGTCCCTTCTTCGTGTCTGTCCTTTGCTCCCCCATGCGTGTGAGACCCTTTGTCACAGGTGCAGATGTCGCCATTCTACCGCAGATGGGTATTTGGATGGTCTCTGGATTTGGGCTTGTGCAGAGAGGGCAGCCGCAGCCATCCCCTGGGGTGTGTCTGCCCGGTGCCGGGGCGGTGCTGCCTGCTCCCAACCTCAGCCCCCAGGAGCATTGCCAGGTCCCCCAAAGTGGGGTTTTCACCTTCCACAGATTGTAACTGCCCCCACCCATCGCAGGACTTGTTCAGCAGAGAGAGTTGAGCAGCGGCCTCCTTCCTTTCTCTAAGTCAGCTGGCCGTGCCGCAGCTTAGGGTGGGGCTGTGGATGGCTGGGATGCTTAGATGGCTCTGGGAAGGGCACTTTGGGGCAGCCGTGCAGATGCCCACCTGGTAGGATCCGCTGAGCTCTTGGCTGGTGCCTCCCCTCCAGGTGTGCCCCTGTGCTGTGCCACCCTGCAGTGGCTCCTTGCTGAGAATGCTGCTGTGGACATCGTGAGGGCTCGAGCGCTGTCTTCCATCCAGGGAGTGGCCCCTGATGGCGCTGACGTTCACCTCATCGTCCGAGAGGCAAGCAGGGGTTCAGGCAAACGAGCCTCGGCACCAGCAGTTCTTGGGGTGGGACCCCTGGCCTGGAGCTCGGGAGGACCCCTCACCCTGGGCGGGGGCCTGGCAGCCTTCTCCCGAGCTCCCCAGAGGACTATGATGTGACAATTTCCCCTCATGCCAAGCAGACGCCACTCAGGCGGGGAGGGCCTTGCAGCTCAGATCCCCGAGGACTGGCCCTGTCCAGCCCTGTCCGCCATGAGGGCCCCCTTCCCCTGTCCAGTACTGAAGTCATAGCAGGTTCCACAGTGCTGCTGGCAACACCCGTACCCCAGGAGCAGCAGCCCCGTTAACCCCCTGCACTGCTAGAGGGCTCCAGACCCGTCGCGGAAGCTGCTGAATGGCGAATGGCACTGCTGGTCTACAGCCCCTGTCGTGCACACCTTTCCAGAGACTCATGACCTCCAGCACACCCTCACGTCCCACCAGCAGAGACTCTTGCAGGGTAGCCCGGGCTGCCAGGACACGTGTGTCCCTGCGGATGGGCAAGGCTGCCTGGGGCTCAGAGTCTGCACTTGGTTTTCGTTTTCGTTTTCGTTTTGTTTTTTTTTTTTTTGAGATGGAGTCTCGCTTTGTCGCCAGGCTGGAGTGCAGTGGCGCGATTTTGATTCACTGCCATCTCCACCTCCTGGGGTCAAGCGATTCTCCTGCCTCAGCCTCCTGAACAGCTGGGATTACAGGCGCCCGCCACCACACCCAGCTAATTTTTGTATTTTTAGTAGAGATGGGGGTGTCACCATGTTGGCCAGGATGGTCTTGATCTCCTGACCTCAGGTGATCTGCCCGTGTCGGCCTCCCAGAGTGCTGGGATTACAGGCGTGAGCCACCACGCCCGGCCCAGAGTCTGCACTTGGAATCGAGCCTCAGCCCTCGGGTGCCTTGACTGCCCACTGCGTGGCCCTTTCAGCCCGGATGCTGGGTCTGCTGGTGGCCCTGCAGGTCGGTGCTAACAGCCCCTGTGGGAGAGCTGCAGGTGACTGTGTCCTTTCTGGGCTCCCGAGGCCCCTGGTGTCTCACCTCCTGTGTGGCGTGTGGAGGATAAGCCTGGTTTCCTGGCTCTTGGCCTGTTCTTGCCATTCTTTGTTGTCCAGCTCAGCTCAGGCCAGCCTCCCTAAGGGACAGGTGGGTGTCCCATAGATAGGCCTAGCAACTCCCAGTGCCCACAGCGATGCCCTAACCCTGCTGCCAGAGGTGATCTGTGATGCCTGGTGTGGGGGGACAGGCCTGGGCCCCCCAAGGGGCATGCAAGATCTACATGTAGGTTGTGCACAAGGCATGTCACTGCAGTGGCCTCCTCCTGGAGCAGGCCCCAGTCTGGCTCAGGGCCCTGCGTGAATTCCACAGGTCTGAGGGACGGGGTCTTCCTGACACATCTGGGCGCAGAGCAGGTTCCTGCCACTGGTTGGTGGCTCATTCTTCAGGTGGAAAAAGTTAAACTAGGGTACTGAGCTCTGCCTCCTTCAGGGTACAGGACAGCCCAGGGCAGGGGGTTGGCCTCACGTGCTGCCAGCTGGGGAGGCTTCTGTGTAGCCTGAGCCCCCCGGGCAGGTGGGGGTGCCACAGGCAGGCAGTGAGGTGGCTCCTGTGTTGCAGGTGGCCATGACCGACCTCTGCCCAGCCGGGCCCATCCAGGCAGTGGAGATCCAAGTGGAAAGCTCCTCTCTGGCCGACATTTGCAGGGCGCACCATGCCGTTGTCGGGCGCATGCAGGTATGTCGGCCCGCTCAGGAAGGCGGCCAGGATCTGTGGGTCGCTCGCTAAGGTCCGTGCATGGGACCCTGTAGCTGCTGGCCACGGGGTCTGCAGCTCCCTGCACGGGAGTTGTAGGAAGATCCAAGCCTGCTCTGCTGCTGAGTGCAGTGTTGTGCAGTGGGGCTGTGGGCGATGAGAGGCATGAGGTGGACCCTCTCAGGAGGCCAGTGCTGCTCCCCAGGTGTGCCGTCACCCCCGGGCACCTGTGAGTGCAAGGACTGCCCGGGCTACGAGGCCAGTGGGCTTCTATTTGTGACCTGCGAGGTCAGCCCAGGGTTTCCTCCCTTCTCTGGCTGGGCAGAGGCTGCATAGAGAGGCCGTGGTCTGGGCGTGGATCCTAGAACAAGGTGCTGGGAGCCTCCACGTCTTTGCCAAGAGAGTGGAGTTTGCAGCTCCCCCCACTCACAGCCCCAGGGGTTCCCTGGCACAGGAATAGCTGCTTCCATGCTGTGCCCAGAGCCAGCTTGGGCCAGCGGCTGCCAGATCTGAGAAGAAGCTCTCCAAGTTCCAAGCTAAAGTCTAAACTTGTGCCCTCGGCAGGGCAGCTGTCACACCTATCCACTAGGACTGTAGCACAGCTTTGGCTCACACAGTGGGTCTGCAGCAACCCTAGAAACCGGTTCTGGAGTTTCTTGTTAGGGGTGGTCCCTGCCTCGGCTCCACCTGGGCTTATCAATGTGCATGCCCAGGCCTCCCCAACCCTGAGACCCAGGGCCTGCGGCCTGATGCCAGCTCAACTCCCGTGGGCACTGTGGTGACGCTTGGAGACGAGGCCCCTCTGCGAGCAGTGACTCTGCCCAGCCCCGCCAGGTGGCTCAGATGGCCGATCCCAATGAACACGTCAGCTCACACAGCACCATGACCCAGAGATTTCGTTTGGTGCAAGGACCCTGCACCCTACACTTCCATGACCCTGATGAGCATGTCACGCAGCACTGTGACCCCAGTGATCTCACGGCACCATGATGGGGGGCTGCCTGGGCTTGGGGGTCTTGTCCTGAGTGCTGGGGGCACCACGGGGATCTCCAGAGCTGAGGTGTTGCCTGTCAAAGGAAGCTCTGCCCACTGGGCCATCTGGTCCCCAAGAAAGTCCCGTTCCCTGCCAAGAGCAGAGCTCCAGCCCCTGGGTTTGTGTCTAGATTTTTCTCATCTTACAAGGACACAGTCATGTGGGGTCAAACCCACTCCCGCGATCTCATCTTGGTCATCTGCAGAGACGCCATTTCCAGACGCAGCCACTCTCTGAGTGCTGGCACTGGGGCTTCCGCATGAATCTGGGGGGGCCCACGCACTGCTGCTGCCTCCTGGACACAGATCTCGTATTGGGCTGCAGACCTTAGTGTCCCCCAACAGCTAGGTGCCCACCCCGCAAGCAGGAGTGCTCTCAGGACCCTACCCAGCACACAGCAGCTACCAGCACTTCTGGGACCCCAGGCAGGCCAGTGCTGCCCCTCGGGGTGTCAGGGTCTCTTCTCAGTTGCTTTGCTCCAAGAGCCTGCAGGAACCTCACTGCCCAGGCTCATCTGGAAATTTAGTTGTATTTATTTATCTGTTTGTTTGAGATAGAGCTCCGGCTCTGTCACCCAGGCTGCTAGTCCAGTGGAGGGAGCTCGGCTCACTGCAACCTCTGCCTCCCAGGTTCAAGTGATTCTCCTCCCTCAGCCTCCCGAGTAGCTGGAATTACAGGCTCCTGTCACCAGGCCTGGCTAATTTCTTTTTTTTTTTTTTTTTTTGAGACGGAGTCTCGCTCTGTGTCGCCCAGGCTGGAGTGCAGTGGCCAATCTCAGCTCACTGCAAGCTCCGCCTCCCGGGTTCCCACCATTCTCCTGCCTCAGCCTCCCGAGTAGCTGGGACTACAGGCGCCCGCCACCTCGCCCGGCTAGTTTTTTGTGTTTTTAGTAGAGATGGGGTTTCACCGTGTTCGCCAGGATGGTCTCGATCTGACCTCGTGATCCACCCGTCTCAGCCTCCCAAAGTGCTGGGATTACAGGCGTGAGCCACTGTGCCCGGCTGATTTCTTTATATTTTTAGTAGAGATGGGGTTTCACCGTGTTGGTCAGGCTGGTCTTGAACTCCTGACCTGAAGTTATCTGCCTGCCTCAGCCTCCTAAAGTGCTGGGATTACAGGCCTGAGCCCATCTGGGAAGTTTAGATCCAAGCCCAGGGAGCCGGTGCCGCAGCCCACACTGGGCTGTGCCGCGTGACTGAGTGAATGGCCAGGCCAGGGTCTCTGCACAAGATGCTAAGGCAGTTCCCTGGCTGGTCTGTGCTCCTGAGCGGCCTGAAGCCCAGGATGGGAGAAGGGGGCAGCAGGCAGGTCTGGATCTGCATAGAGTGTGGCTCTTGGGGACAAGGAAGATCCCACTAGTGGAGAGAAAAGAACCAAACAAGTTCATTTCCAAGAAACTGTCAGGCCAGGGGCTCTGTGCCCTGCTGCTCTGGAGGGCAGGAAGTTGAGGTGAACAGTGGGGTGGAAAACAGCAAAGCGGCTGGGGGGGTGCCAGGCAGGGAGGCGGGGGTGGGGGGGTGCCAGGCAGGGAGGCGGGAGTGGGGGGGTGCCAGGCAGGGAGGCAGCGCTGGGCAGATAGAAGGAGAGGGTCACCCTGCTTCGAGGGGTGTGGGGGCAGGTGCTGGAGCACACCCTCTCCAGCATGTCCCCTGTGTCGCCCCCAGACGATGGTGACAGAGCAGGCCGCCCAGGGCTCCAGCGCTCCTGATCTCCGTGTGCAGTATCTCCGCCAGATCCATGCCAACCACGAGGTGAGCACCCGGTGCCCTGGACAATCCCCTCCACCTGGGTAGCCAGGAGCGCCCGTCGGCAGGCCCTTCTCCAGTCACCCGGAGTCTGCAGAGTTCTCGCAGTGCGTGGGCTTGGCTCCCGTGGGCCTGGGGCAGAGTCCGAGTGACCACAGCCTTTCCTGCCCCTCGTCTTCCTTGAGGGGCCAGGTGTCCCGGCCAGGCTGCATGTCCCATGTTTTAAGGTTCCAGATGAGTGTTCATCCTTGGACCACCTGTCACTTCCCAAGTATGGTCCTGCGAGTGGTGGGTCCCCCAGAAACATCCAGTGACATCCCCAGGGCCAGGTGGGGGCCTGAGCTGTGTCTGCTCCACCTGCAGACGCTGCTGCGGGAGGTGCAGACCCTGCGCGACCGGCTCTGCACAGAGGACGAGGCCAGCTCCTGCGCCACCGCCCAGAGGCTGCTGCAGGTGTACCGGCAGCTGCGCCACCCCAGCCTCATCCTGCTGTGACCAGGCGGGCCTGCCCTGGCCACGGCTCTGGTCACGCTTCCAGCCTCTGTAACAGCCCCCCAGGCCTTCGTGGTTTTAGAGGAAAACTGAGTTGGCCTGGTCAGAGCCGTCAGGAAGGTGTGGCCTGGCCACGTGGGAGCAGAACACTCATGAAAGTGCTTGAAGGCCACGAAGCACAAAGCAGATTCTGATTGGGAGCAACCGAGGTGGGCTCTGAACCTGGCCGGTCCAGCTTCGCGTCCTCTGCTGCTCTCTCTCCTCCTCTGACCGCGGCTGCAGCCCCTGCACTCGCCTTCCTCACTGCTGGGCAGCCTTCCCGCCGCAGCAGCAGCCCCTGAGGCCAGGAGGCAGTGCGGTGCATTCTGGACCCTACGGGCCGGAGAAACAGGATTTCTGGGGTTTGGACTTGGGGTGAGTTTGTAACTGTTGCTGCTGCACCACCAGGAGCACCAGCTGCCCCTCTGGGTGGCGCTACCAGGCGCCCCACGGTACCCCTGTCACACTGTTCACACCTGCCCGGCTGCCCACTCTGGGACCCCGAGGTGGGAGGGTGCTCCCTGAGACCAAAGCACAAAACAGCATGCAGGGAGCTCCTGCAAGTGCCCGTGGCCTTGCGCCACACCAAGGAAGGGCCATCGGGTGGCCTGTGGCCGGAATGCTCAACAACTAGGTGCCCCCGGCCGGGGCCGTACCCAGCACTGTGCACTATTTTCAGGGCCACTCGGTGGCACTGTGGCCTGGGGGTGCCCTGAGCCCCAGCCCCCAGCCCCCTCCCTCAGACTGGGCTACGGCCCGCCTCCTGGTGCTGGTGCTTTCATCTGGGGAGGGTGCTCGTGCCTCCCGCTGCAGGCACTGTCCGCGACGAGTGCGGGTAGGAGCCGTGAGGTGCTTCTCTGCTGTGACAAACGACCCTGTCTGTGAAACTTCCGGCCTCGGCTGTGTTTTCTCACCCCTTCCCACCCTCTCACTGGGCTCCCTCCAGAGTCATGGCATTGCTTGGGAGCCCCCAGCACGGGGGTGGCCTCCAAGGAAAAAGTGTTCGCTGTGACCCAGTTACCCCTGAGGAGGGCTCTGCTCCACGGGGGTGTCTGGGAGGCCTGGGGCCACTGCCTGGCTCTCCCGCCTTCCTCTCCGTGGAGTGGGAGGGCCCCGTGGGGTGCTCCGAGTCAGGGTTTGTCTCCCTCAGTGGTCGCCACATCTCAGGGAGCAAGGCCCCCCTGGTGACACTCCAAATCCGGCCTTTTCAGTGGGGCCACGGCCTGTGTTGCTGGGAGAGCGGGGGCCGGGTGAGCCACCCACCAGGGCGGGCCCGCACCCCTTAACGGTCCCATCCGCGCTGTGCTCCCCGGATGTCCTCTGCCCCCCTGGCAGGAGCCTCTGGCTCTGACCTTTGTCCAGCGCTTGTGCCCATGTCTTGCTCTGAGAGTCAGGGGAAGAGCAAGGGGTTGCCAGGGGCTAGGGAGGGTTGAGGACCTAGGCTGGGGAGGGGTGGTGTCCAGTGAGGTCATCTGTGATATGTGTTGCTGGCCTCACCCCACCCAGGCTCAGTCCGCCACCCACCCCCAGCCCCCATCTTCCCCACGTCCTCAAGACCTCCCCTCCGCCCCACCTCCACCGGCCTGGGTCACCCTGCCCTGTCACCCTGCCCATCCACAAGGCCACCTCCTGGGCGCAAGTCCTTGGGCACTGGGAGGTTGTGGGCGCACTCTGGTTTGTGGGGAACTGTGGGCCTCCTCCCCCTACAGCTGCAGGACCCTCAAGCGGCACCCGAAAGCCCACGCGCAGCTGCGGGACAGACACAGTTTAATGCGTGATAGGCTGGTCCGGGCGCGGCCTCAGTACTCCCAAAGCGCGGTCCCGGCTGGTGCGTCGGCGTCGGCGCGCAGCAGGCCCGAGGCGCCGCCGCGCAGGTACTTGCCGCTCCGGGCGCGGATGGCCAGGCGGCCGCGTTCGCGGAACTCGAAGACGAAGTCCTCGGCGCGTTCGCCGTCACTGCACACGCTGCCGTGGCTGCCCGTGTACCAGAATCCGCCGCCGCGGCCTGGGGGACGGGACGGCGTTGGCGGGGTGCCCACCTGCCCGCCGCGACCCGCTCCTGCGTGCCCACCCTGCCCGCCGCGCACCTCGGATCTGGTAGGCGCCGTCGCTGAAGCTCAGGTGGAAGACGTCGTAGACAGAGCGGTTGGTGTCCAGCTGGTTGGAGCCGCGGCGGTGGCAGACGAAGCCGTCCAGGCCGCGCAGCACCAGGATGGGCCGGTTGATGAGCTTGAGAGTGAACTCCTCGTCTTTGCCTGACAGGGAGAGCGTCTCTGCTGCGCTGCCGCCCCCGCCACCTTCCCTGTCCAGGCCGGGGGGGGCCTGGGAAGCGCCACACCTGGACTTAGGGGCCCAGGCCTGCCATTGCCTCATGTGCGGCCTAGGCAAGGTTCCCGGCAGCGGAGGAAAGGACACTCCCCTAAGGGCCTAACTGTTTCCCTTGCCAAGACGGTTATCTTGACTAGCAAGTGTGACTCCGTGACAGCAGCCGTTCCACGGGCTAGGGAGGGTCCAGCTCTCGGTGGAGATGGGGTGTCTGGGCAGGTGCTGTCCCTGGGTGGAGACAGCCCCTGCCCCAGTCCCTGGCAGGCAGAGTGCTCACCCACAAAATCGCTGATGGCCGCCAACTGCCCATTCTTCTTCATGCACACGTAGCGCCCATTGCTAGCTTTGAGTGCCACCCGCCGGCCGCGCCACTCCATCTCAAACATGGTGTTGGTGGAACTGGAGGGAGCAGCGAAAGGTCTCCTCAGGACAGCAGGAGATGGGGATGCAGGGTAACTCTTCCCTATCCTCCTCAGGTTCCAAGGAGTGGAACAGGAGCCTGCCTTACACTGACACACCCGCCACCATCAGGAGCTACCTGGCCCCAGTGGGCTTTCCTCTCTGAGCTGCCACGGCAGTCCTCACGGCCGAAGCAGTGATGGTGGCGGAAGTGATGGTGCAGGTGATGGGAATGGTGGGGATGGGGATGGAGATGGGGATGATGGTGGAGATGATGGGGATGGGGATGGAGATGGGGATGGTGGTGGGGATGGAGATGGGGATGATGGTGGAGATGATGGGGATGGGGATGGAGATGGGGATGGTGGTGGGGATGGAGATGGGGATGATGGTGGAGATGATGGGGATGGAGATGGGGATGGAGATGGGGATGATGGTGGAGATGATGGGGATGGGGATGGGGATGGAGATGGGGATGGGGATGATAGTGATGGTAGAGATGGAGATGATGGTCATGGGGATGGCGATGATGGTGGGGATGGTGATGGTGGTAACGGGCATGTTGGAGGAGGGAGGGATGTGTGCACTCACACTTGTGTGGCTGTGGCCTGAATGCCCCCATGGGTGACCAGGGTCCAGTAGCCCCCAGTGCTGGAATAGAAGGTGCACTTCTTTGTCTCCTGGTCAATTTGCATCAGGAAGGTCTCATGGTCTAGTTCATCATCCTGATTGGCTGAGACGTTGACCCCTGGAGGGAGGAGATGGGGAAGCCCCTCACGCCTCTCCTGGGTAGGGAGCAGGGGATGGGGGCATGCTTTTGGGGGCACCCCTGAAGCCAGAGGGGTCTCATCTAGAAATCTCTTGAGAAGATTTGGAAGGCACCTCTCAGAGAGCCTGGGAACCCTGCCCCAGGGCCATGTGTGCCGTCTGTGGACCCTGCACACTGTCCCCAAGGGAGCCGTGACCTCCCTCCACACCCCCAGGAGCCAGGCCCTTCTGCTTGGCACAGCCCCCACTCTCTGCTAATCAGTAATCAGCTGGTAATCTCCTTGCCCTGCTCTCTTGACCCAGGGCTTACACCAGCCTCTATTTATAATTCACCCTAAGCTGCTGGGTGGGCACAGGCAGGACCTAACGATGGGGATGGTGGGGATGGGGATGGTGATGGGGGCACCCCTGGGCACCAGGCAGGGGCTGGTCCCTGTCACCTCTGCAGAAGCCCCAACCATCTGTGCTTGGTCTCCCGGGACCCCTGGGGGAGGACAAGACTGCCCTGGGCTCCATCTGGGGTTCCTGCGAGGGGATGGAGGGGCACCCATGCCCAGCATGGGGACAGCAGACACCAGAGCCTCCCCAGGATCTTCTGTGAACTGAGTCCCTGGCTCCTCCCACAAGCCACCTCCCTGTTTCCATGGCAACTGGCCACTGGGAGTGATGTATCAAATTGCGGAGCCCCCCACGAGGCCCAGGGACTCTGGTGGCCTGTCCAGCTGGGGACTGGGAGGGAGTGGTGGGCAGAGCCCCACAGGGCCTAAGGGTGGGGCCAGATCCCATCCCACTCTGTCCCCAGGGGAGAGGGCACCAGGCTATGACTGTGCCAGAGAGCTTGGGACCTGTTCCCTTCTGAGAGCCCCAAAGCTGCCCCTCACACCCCAGGCTGGGGTCTCTCTCACATTCACCACTGATCAGATGCAGAGGAGCGCCCCGCATGTCCCCTGCACTGTGGCCGAGCATTCGTGCCAGCACCCCACTGCCACCAGCTCTATATCCTGGCAAATACTGAGCTAAGAGCAGCTGTCTGGGCCCAGTGGAGGGCAACACTGACATGGTGCCCGGGGGTAGCAGGACCCCTCAGGAGGAGGGGCCCATGAGGGGCGTGGGAACGCCGTCCCTGCGGGCACTGAAGGAAGAGTAGGGGTAAAGCCACAGCATCGCAGGGCTGCCCCCGCCACCGTGCCTCCCGGACCAGCACTTTGGTGTCCCTAGTGTTGCCCCCACACCTCCTTCAGACAGAATGCTGTCTGGGGCTGCCTTATTCAGCCATCTGCTTCCAGAGAAATGACCTCAAAATAGGAGAGGAGTGCAGCTGGCATTGGCCTGGGCAACACTGGTTTTACCCAACTCCAGAGGGGCTAGTTGAGCAGCTGGGGGACTCAGTTCTGGCCAATGAGCGTGAAGAAGTGTCTCCTAGGACTTAGGGGAGAAGTGTTCTTACTCCTGAGAGGACACAAGCAGAGCCAGTGCCTCTTTTTCCTCTGGACTTGGTCCTGCCTGGATGTGAGGCCTGGAATACCAGCAGCCACATTACGACCGTGAGGGCGTCAGGCTGAGGTCAGAGCTGACCCAGGAGAGTGGTTCAGCAAAGAAGTAAGAACAGAGGACCCCAGGGAAGCTGCTGAGCGGGTGATGGTGGCTGCCTGGGAACCCACCATGCCCAGGGCTCTGGACTCCCGTTTCAGATGATTATGTCACTGCTGGAGCCAGCCTGTGGCCAGTTTTCTGTTACTGGCAGCATCGGACACTGCCTGCCATGCTGTCTGCCAGCAGAAATGAGCAGGCTCTGGCTGATGGGGGGGGGATACATGCAAGCCTGGGTGCTCACTCCCCTCCCAGGGGGAAGAGAGGCTTAGGGGCTGCCCAGCCAGGGAGATGCCTCGATGAAGGGCCTGCCATGTGGCCGCTCCACAGAGGCCGGGTGGGGGACACTATGGCACCTCCCACGCTGCAGCTGCCTTGGAAGCTGGGGGGTTCCATGCCCCAGGACTGAGACGCCACGTCCCACTCCCCACAGCACTGGCCGCCAATCCAGAGCCTGAAACACCTGGCGGCCAGGTCCTCACCCTTGGCCCGGCTGAAGGCAGGGAGGTGAGTGGCGCTGCTTCCTGCTTGTAAAGTGGGAGATGGGAGCCAGTCCTGAGTAGGGGATTCTCCCCTCAAAAGGACAATGGGGTCAGATGCAGGGTGGTTGAGGATCAAGAGACTGAAAAATGGTCCATACAGTCCCCATCCCTCCACCACTCTTACTATCAGCACTTCTCCATCACCATCACCATCACCATCATCACCATTACCATCATCACCATTACTATCACCATCACCATCACCACCATCACCTTCATCATCACCATTACCATCATCACCATCACCATCACCACCATTACCA